AAAGAAGGTGATACAATCCTTCGGACTTCCTGTTTCATGAAAGAGTCTGCTAGACATTCTGCAGGACACAGAAAAAAGAAACTGATGAACTTTGCCATTACATAGGCAGAATATGTCTTCATATTTCCTGCTTCATGGAAAAGTGTTCTGGATACTGTGTGCCTATAGGCTGAAGATTGGATGCCCCAATGTTACAAAAGGACTTTGAGTGACTTTCCAGGCAGCAAGATGTCTCTGTCAATCCTAGAGTTTTTGAAGTTGCTTACAATGCACTTCCTGTTAACTTAGGTAATATTATAACCTTCTGGAGTCTTTGATGGATCTGAAGAATATATAGTTATAGTTTTCCTTAGTTATGATAAAAGGTAAGTGGATACAAATATTGTAATTGTAATCTTGCTTAATACCTGCCTTGTTATATGTAATTTTACTATGTTAAAGTTAAAACTGTTGTGGGACATTGGTCTTTTATCCTGTCACTTGTAATATTTTTAATAAAATGCTGATTGGCCAGTAGCCAGGCAGGAAGTATAGGCGGGGCGACCAGTCAGGAAGTAGAGGTGAGGCAATGAGAACAGGAGAATTCTGGGAAGAGGAAATCTCAGTCTGTAGTTGTGACCCAGTCGTAGAGGAAGCAAGATAGCAAGATGTGACTGCCTTGCCAAAAAATGTACCAAGTCACATGGCTATCACAGACAAGAATTATGGGCTAATATAAGTTATAAGAGTTAATAAGAAGCCTGAAATACTAGGCCAATCAGTTTATAATTAATGTAGACCTCTGTGTGATTTTTTGGGGGGGACTTCACGACTATGGAAACCAGACAGGACAGAAACCTCCGTCAACAAATGGTGCCGACGTGGACAACTGCATCCACATAAAGCCTGAGAGAGCTTGGGAAGTAATTCTAGACAGGAAAGAATAAAGGAAAGGACAGCTTATTGATCGCAGCATTTTCTCAGGTGGGTTCTGCTTGCTAGAGGCAAGTGCTCTCATTTGAGAGAGGCTTCCTGACTCAATTTTAGCTGCAAAAACTTGCAGCCCTTTTAAGAGGTCCTGCCATGAAACACTTAAATGGTGTTGATGAAAAGCTGACTGCATGCTTTTTGGTGGTGGCAGGAATGTTGAAACACAATAGAGTTGTGGCAATAAAGGCTGGAATCTCAAAAAGCTAAAGAATGGGTTGGATTCAGCTGTCAGAGCCATAGCTTTAATCCTAGCCATATTGCTTAACAAATTAAAGACTCATGTGGTCAGAAAAAGAGAGAGATAAACAGTAAAGGTAGATTCAAAGACAAAGAAAACCTCTAAATGGTTTACTGTGTTTTTAAAAATATATGTAGGCTTGGAAGAAAAAAAAAAGCATAAAGTCCTTAAGAGAGAAAAGGAAAAAGAGAGTAGTTGGGTGTGGTGGCACACGCCTTTAATCCCAACATTTGGAAGGCAGAGGCAGGCAAATTTCTGTGAGTACAAGGACAGTGTGGTCTACAGAGTGAGTTCCAGGACAACGATACACAGAGAACCCGTGTCTCAAAAAACAAAAATTAAAAATAGAAAATAAAGCTTAAAATAAAGCCACGTAAAGATGGAAAACACACAGAAAATACAGATACTGTAAGTTATTATGTTCTCTTTGAATTGTTTAAATGCTGAGGAAGGAGCAACAGCTGCTAAAAGGTATTTGTTTATAAATGCTGCTAAATTAATCCAAGATAGGTATTTTGAAAATACCTTGCCTTCAAAATTTAAGTCAAAAGGTATGTTACTTTGGAAAAGAGATTTTGCTTTTCTTTCCACGGGAAATGACAGACTGTGGATTCATTCCAGGTTATGAAAAATCAGGTTTGATCAAGGAAGACTTCCTGAAAAATCTCTGATATGAGTGGATGGCCCAGATGTCTGAGTTCTACATCTAGAACAGATTCAAGACTGCTGGCTGAGATGATCAAGCCTCACAGGATACTCCAGTCAGGACTTGATCATAATTCTAAATTTTCTTTAGGTCCCCATAAGATTATTAGCACCCTCATTCAGCAGGAAGTAGCCTGGAATATTACGCCCACATTCCCAAAAAATAGGCTATGGATATTTTTCTTTTATTTAAAATGTTGGTTACAAGTTGCTATGAATAAGAGTCAGGCAAAAAGCTAGACAAAAAATATTAGGTTCAGAATTATTGTTTTTAAAAAAGGGGGAGTGTTGTGGGACAATGGTCTTTTATCCTGTCACTTGTATTATTTTTAATAAAATGCTGATTGGTCAGTAGCCAGGCAGGAAGTAGAAGCAGGGCAATGAGAACAGGAGAATTCTGGGAAGAGGAAAGCTCAGTCTGTAGTCATGACCTAGTCATAGAGGAAGCAAGATAGCAAGATGCGACTGCCTTGCCGAAGAAGGTTCCAAGCCACGTGGCTAACACAGACAAGAATTATGGATTAATATAAGTTAATAAGAAACCTGAAATACTAGGTCAATCAGATTATAATTAATGTAGACTCTGTGTGATTTCTTTGGGACTTAACGACTGCGGGAACCGGGCAGGACAGAAACCTCAGTAAACAAAAATCTTCCTTTTTATTTAAACAGAAAAGGAGAGGTGATGTGGGATTCCCCTCTGTATTCTGTGAATATCATTGGTTAATAAAGAAACTACTTTGAAGCTGTGCAGTGATGGTTGCATACCTTTAATCCCAGCTCTCAGGAGGCAGAGGCAGGCAGATCTCTGTGAGAAGGAAGCCAGCCTGGTCTACAAGAGCTAGTTCCAGAATAGGCTCCAAAGCTACAGAGAAACCCTGTCTTGGAAAGCCAAAAAGAAAAAGAAAAAATAAAAGAAACTGCTTTGAGACTATAGCAGAGCAGGGAAGAACAGAGTTAGGTATGGAAAACTAAATTGAATGCTGGGAGAAAGAAGAAAGAAGTAGAGAGAAGCCATGTAGTCCCACTGGAGACAGACACTAGAACTTTACCATGAAGCCACATACTCATGGTGATACACAGATTAAGGGAGATGGGTTAATTGAAGATATGAGGTAGCCAGAAATACACATAAGCTATTGGCCAAACAGTAGTACAAATAATATGGTTTCTGTGTGATTATTTCGGGAGTATGAATGGCCGCAAAATGAACATGTGGCTTCCTACAACATATGACTGTCTATGCTCTTTTTCCTCTCTCAAGCCTACATATATTTATCCAAACTGTGCCCCATTTAGAGGTCTTATTTTTATCTGAATCTGTCTTTATTGTGTATCTGTAATTATTTTCTGACCAGTAGCAGGTTTTTGTTTGTTTGCTTTCTAATGCTAAATGGACATAGCTAGGATCAACTCTGCCATCTTGCCTGTTGGATCCACCAAGTCCAACAAGGAGGAGGCATCTTCATTGCCTCTGAGTCATGTACATTGCCCAAGCTCTGGGGTCACAGAGGGTCTTTGTCACCATTAAGCAATTTGTAACATGCTGCTCATAGACCCCATTTAAGCACTTGGCCTCCTGAAAGGGCCAGAGCTGTTTGTGCAACTAGCACAAAACAAGAAGAGCGTCCTTTTGAAATTGTGCAGGGTTTTTTGTTTGTTGATTTGATTGTTTTTGCTGCTACCAATGAATAAGGAAGACCTCTCAGCAAATAGAGCAAGAAGCTGTATTAAATTCTCTCTCTCTCTCTCTCTCTCTCTCTCTCTCTCTCTCTGTGTGTGTGTGTGTGTGTGTGTGTGTGTGTAGAATTCCTTTTCAAGCTCTCTCAGGGTTTTTATGTGGATGTAGTCAGCCCAAGTTGGCACACCAACTTATAGATGGACACTGTTCATTTCCAGCTGCCCAGACCACAATGTAATCACTCAAAAAACTATATTATTTGCAATACTGTTTGGCCAAAAGCTTAAGCATATTGCTAGCTAGCTCTTATATCCTAAACTAACATATCTCTATTAATCTGTGCCTCACTGTGAGGTCATGGCCTACTGGCAAATTTTTGGCAGACTCCAGTGGAGATGTCTGTCCCCAGAGGTGGCTACATGGCTTTTCCTTGACTCTGTCTACTCCCTCTCTCTATATATATCTCTTCCAGCCTGGCTTATTCTGTTAAGCCATTGGCCAAAAGCAGCTTCTTTATTAACCAATAAAAGCAACACATATACAGAAGGACTTCGCACACCACATGATCATCATTCCTTAAAGAAGCAGCACAACAATGCCACACAGAACATTCACACTGTATACAGTGTTTTACAAGTACTGCAGATGTGGTTGAAAGTGTGGCTTATATGCAAAGTCTGATGTTTTATTCAAGAGCCTTGAGCATCAGTGAGAGCAGAAACCAAGCCCCACAAGCACCTGACAGTGAAGAGCCACAGGTCATCTCACTTCTGTCCACACAGTGTCCGCTTCTGTCCACACATTTCCCTACCCCTCTCCGCTGGTCACGGTGTCATTGTGGCATGTGTGAGTGTTAAAACTGCTAGGGAAATACTGTAAACAGTGTGTTACTCTGTAATTCTCTGCTTAAAAAATATTTCTCAAGAGGCTGGTCAGGGAAGATCTGAGTTCAAAGCCTGCCTGGGCTATGCAGCTAGTTGGAGGCAACTTGTTCCAGTCTCCAAAAACTTAGAAAAGTAGATAGAGGACTGGGGATACCGCTTGGTACGGAGCACTTAAGCACATTCAGTCTGTCTGCAGTACTGGAAATAAATTGCTTGCACACACACACACACACACACACACACACACACACCTCTTCTAGAGTTATATTTGTCTCTTGGTTTTTATTATATTTTGAGTATAAATTTTAAATTACTGATAACTTGGACTTCACAATAATTGGAAACCTCTTTTCTCAAGTTGCTAAACTACTTGCTTCAACTCTCCACTAAATACAGCCTTCAAAAACAGATTTATCCATATTAAAGAAAACCCTGATGCTGTTAGCTCATGCTAGAACTGGCTTTTCTGTGAAAAGTCAACGCTCAGAACATCGACCTCATCTCCTGCCCTTTTTATTTCTAGGGACCAAGAAAAAAAATCAAAGTCAGAAGAAAATAGAAAACAACTCAATCTGTGAAAGTAAGTAACTATTGTAAACTTGCTTTCTCCATAGAAAACAGTGCCACCAGTTATTTTAATATGTTTTTATGGCCAAAGCTGGCCTCAAACTTGTGTTAATCCTCCTGCCTCAGTCTCCTGATGTAATAAGGTCTTTGGAATATCTCAGAATATGGATTGTTCTTTTTTTACTCTCCTTGTTTTTTAAAAAGACAGGATCTGGTGGCATAGCTGTGGCTGGCTTAGAATTTGCTATGTAGGATATGCTCGCCTCCAGCTTACATAGATCCACCTGCCTCTGCTTCCTGAGTGGTGAGATTAAAGTTGTGCACCCCAGCACCTGGCAACATACCTGTCGTCTCTAATTTTCTGTTGCTTTCGAATCTATCAGGTTTTGTTTTCTTGTTAAATGATGTACTTTTAAGAATGAGAAATAATTTACCCCAGATCTTCATTTTAGCCTTTTTGATACGTAAGTAATATGCCACTGAAATCTAGAATCTACGTGTGAACTCTACATGTGAACCAACGTGGTTCATTCTGTGTGAGCCACGTGTCTTAGTGACCTTTTCTGCTTAAGAGCCTGCAGAGCTCCACGCTAGGATGTTCCTAATAATACTGAAGAGTGGGCATGCCGTCTTCTGTGATCCAGTTCCCAATGACTCGGCTTTGTCTAAGCGCTCACTTTTGGAGTTGCTTCATCTTTGTTTGGTCAGATCAACACTCAGGTTTTTGAGCCCAGAAAAGACATCATGGAGGTGTCAAGGAGCATGGCTCCCATAGGTTCTGGTGTTTGGATCTTGGTCTATAGTTAGTAAAGTTTTAGGGAAGGATTAGGAGCTGTGACCCTGTTGGTGTTGTGTCACTAGCTTTGAGGTTCCTAAGGCCCACACCAGACCTGTGCTCTTGTGCCTCACAGTTCTGTCTCAGGATGTGGGTTCTCAACTACAGCTCCTGTGCCGTGCCTGCCTGCTGCCATGCTCCCTACCATGGTGGTCATGGACGCTAACCCTCTGCAACTGTGAGTCCAAATAATCACCTCTTTTATAAGTTGTGTTGGTCATAGTTTCTTATCACAGCAGCAGAAACCCTACTTAAGAGTTCCATGCTAGACAGGAGCTCAGTGAGGTGGGTGATGTGTCCTGGTTTTAAAAGGAGCATTGAGAATCATCTTGCAGCACACTGGATGGCCTGACTTGGCAAAGGTGTTTAGGGTTGATCGTCTTCCTCGGGTGCTGTTGCTCGACTGTGTTGGCCGCAGACTCGATCCTGAGTCAGTAGCTTTGGTTTGGTTAGGTTCCAGTCTGCTCTGAAAAGTTCAAGGGCTTTTACCTTCCTCTGTCTTCTCAGAATCTCCCGCCTGCCTGCTGATATCTCTGGGACTGACTAGCAATGCACCTTCAGAATATTTCTAAGGCCTTCCCAGGAGCACAGTTGTATTTCATTTTATTTTATCTTCACTTGATCTGTCGGTGACTGGCAGCTCCTGGGTCTGCTGTTCATTCAGAGGCACAGCCACGGCTCCTCTGGTTCTTGTTGCTGTCTATGAGCAGTCCTGGGTGAGCCGGGCTATGTGCTTGTTCCTGAGACCAGGAAGGCAAGCTAAGGAAACATTAGCTCACAGAGTGTAAGTAACTAAGTCATTAAGGTAGCAAGTGACAAATTAGGGTTGAGTCTCAGCCTACGGCCAGTGCCCCCACCTGGGCTCTCAGGTTATCTTTGTCTCACTGCCCTGTGGCCTGTCCAGGATAAAAACACCACATTGCAAAGAGACTGGAAGGGGCATTTTTAAGTTTTATTTCATCTTTAGTTATAGACAGGGGCAGGATAGATGGGGTAGCTAATGTGTGCGTGAGAGCAGGTATGTCCCTGGAAGCCAGAAGAAAGGTCAGATCCTCTGGACCTGGAGTTCTAGACATGAGCAGACTGACCTGGGGGCTGGAAGCAAACTTGGAACTGAACTCAGGTCCTCTTCAAAAGCAATGTACACTTAACCCTATGTGCCATATCTCCAACCCTAGAGAAACATCCCCATCCCCAAAGGAGTCGGCTACTCTGAGAGTCTTAGTGTTGCAGAAACTGCAAAGATCCAGGCCTCACTTCCCATATGACTAATTCAATAGACTGCTGACTATTGAGACAAATGCAAGCAAATTCAACTTCTGCCCCAGGATCTTGGCAAATAGCATTTTTGCATGACAGTGTGCACAGTCTTGCTGGTGAACCTTTCTTTACTCAGCCCTTGGCTCAACCATGTGGGACTGTGACTGATCTGGTGGGGATCCAGATACTCTGAAGAGAAAATTGTCTCTCAGTCTGACTATCAGACTGTTGAAACAATGGACCCCTGAGAATTGAGGGTTTCTCAAGAATCTCACACAGAAGAAAGGAAAGGCATTGGCCTGGGGGATCTTCTTTCTGGGAGAGAGATTTCTCACAGTTCTGACAACTTGTGAGACCCATTTACAGTGAGACTGCAGCCCAGACAAGGCTGGATCCGTGGATGGGACCACATCTTGGCCAGGACTGCTTAGATCTACAGATCCCTGACCCTCTGTTTAAACTTTGATCCCACTTCACAACCCTGAGGATTCTGGGGGATGTCGCTGCATCTGTTCTTCCTTCTTCCCAGTGTGGCCACATTGAATACATCTCCTTCCTCTGCTCCCCGCTGCTAATTTGGCTCTCTTTTTATTGGTTATTGAGTATGGGTTGCCAGACCTGACTTGGGGCACAGGTTGTGAACCTCCAAGTTGATAAGAGGCCTGAAGGCACTGTATGTGAGTATGTCACAGAATGCTGCAGAAACAGAACTTCCCACATGCTAGAGAACACAGGGATGGCTAGGGGACTTGCCCTGTTGGACTAGCCACCTGCCATGAACTTGAAGACCCTTTGGGACACACTTGGAAGCCTAGGACAGCAGACAGTGTCTAGTTCCACATCACTCACCCTGCCCTCAGGTATTGTCACTGCTCTAGCTCTGTAGATTGGACAAATGCCACTAACACAGAGTGTTAACTCACAACTGGCAACAACCCTAGTGCTCCGTAGGCACTCTAGTGCCTGGATTAGGTACTCCTAATGAGTACTAGTGATTAGTACTGGGAACCAAGCTGTGGACATCAATCCTTGTTCATCCAACAGCCCACGCAGGACGTAGGGTGTCTTTCCAGCCTGCAGGGACCCTCCTTCAGACCCTGACAACAGCAACAGCTTTTCCTGGGCTCAGTTTTTCTAAGACAAAAGTCGGAATACAACAGCTCAGAAAGAAAATGTCCACTGTTCCTTACTGTGACAGCTTGTTAATGACCTTGGAAATGCAGTAGTTGCCCTTCCTGGCAGCAGTGCTCCTGTCTGTTTTCTGTGATGCACCCCTCCTTATCTCTGCAATAATCTTATCCTTTCCTTTCAGCCCCCAGCGATGCATCACTTCCCAAAGTTCTTCTGTTATGATCTCACCACCGTCTGTTTGCCACAGTGGTTACCGCTGGCTGCCTGTGCCGATCCTGTCTGCCCCGCTTTCTTCTATTGCATCACGGTGTGCTGTGTGGGAAGCACGGAGGGGCCAGCAGGCTGCGCTGTCATTATGCTGGTTAAAGACATCACATGGTTTAAAGGCAGCAGATTGCCAGGGAGTATCTGCAGGTTTTTACCCGCAGGCGAGACCAGAGCTCAGGCAGTCCCAGGCTGACACCTCCTGCCTAGATGTTCTAGAGGCCTCACCCTGTTCTGGAGGGGAAACAAAGCTGGGTCCTGTTCTTTCCATTTTAAATACATTACCTGGCTGCTGTTGGTCTGGGGTACACTTAGACATCCTAAGGAAAAGCTAGTTTGGTGTCAATATAAAGGGAATGAGAAGTGGAAACTGGTAACCTATCCTAGAACCATCTTGATCTTTCTGTTCAAAGCCCGGGATAAGCCATTCTTGTAAAACAGCGAGAGTCTTAGGAGGTGGGAAGTTCTTCCCAGCAATAAAGCTGTCACCTAAATGTGCATGTTACAAAGTTGAATTAGGGGAAAAATGGATAACAAAACCTTGGCAAAAGCAGAAACAGCACAAAATGATTTCTCCTCCATGATCACCCTACACACAAGTGTGACAGAAACAATTCCTCCACAATTACCGTACACGAGTGTGACAGAAACGATTCCTCCATGATTTCCTACACATGAATGTGACAGAAACGATTCCTCCATGATTTCCCTACACATGAGTGTGAGAGAAACGATTCCTCCATGATTACTGTACACATGAGTGTGACAGAAATGATTCCTCCATGATTGCCGTACACATGAATGTGACAGAAACGATTCCTCCATCATCACCCTACACATGAGTGTGACACGTGATTTCTCCTCCATGATTCCCTACCCATGAGTGCATTGCCTCTGGGTCTCTCTGACCAAAGCATCTAACAGAAGATATAACTTGAAGAAGAATGTGGTGCAGCCATGGTCCCCATGCTCTTGAACAACCATAGTGCATGTCACAGAGACATCACCCCACTTAGAAGACAGGAAGTAGAAAGAAGAAATGGAAAATGGCCAGGATGACACAACCCCAAGAACCCACCTCCCACATTTCCCTGCCTTCCAGGGGGACTTTAAGAATCCATCAAGAAATTGATTCCTCCATCAGGCCACAGTCCAGCCGTCTTTGGAAGCATCTTCACAGATACACCCAGTGGTGTGCTTCCCTAACCCCTGTTTCAGTACAGTTGAGTAGACAATCACAACTTGTAGATAGGTGTCTTTTCCACCAGCAGCCTCAAATAACCCCATGAAGACTTCTTATTAATTTTGAAAGCTTGGCCTTCAACATACACTTCTCTCAACTAGCTCTTATAGTATAAACTAATACGTTTCTATTAACCTACATTCTATCATGTGGCATTGCCTCTCTTTCATCTTGCCCCTCCTGTTTCCTCTCCTTCTGGCTAATGATCTGCCCTCTTTTTCCTAGAGTCTTCTCTGCCCCCAGAAGTCCCACCTAGCCTCTTCCTAGCTATTGACCATCAGCTTTTATTCCATGAGGCACAGCAGTACATTTTCACACAGTGTGGAATTTCCCACAACTGAAGAGCACAGCAAGTGAGCCAAGATCTACTAATTCCCGTCTGTATCTAGCAGTGACACTAGGAAGTCCCTGACTAGATTAACTCTACATTTTTGTGGCAACTGAAGCACATTTCCAGCCCTCATATTTAGGTACCTTTGCTGTTCAAGACAGTATCCATCAACAGATAAATGGATTTGTAAAATATATGCTTCTATACAATGTGATCTTACTGCACTGTAAAAAGATGAGATTCAGACACATCAGCATGAACTGACACGAGCTAGACACAAAAGGGCAAGTAGTTTGGGGGCGGTGCTTTATCTCAGTGGAGAAATGCAAAGAACTAGAGAGCCCAGCTGAAGGAGGAGAGAGCTGCTTGTTCGTCTGGGCCGCCCAGAACCGAAATAATCACACAGAAACTGTATGAATTAAATCACTGCTTGGCCTATTAGCTCCAACTTCTTTGGCTAGCTTTTACATCTGAATTTAACCCATCTCCATTAATCTGTGCCTACCATGAGGTCGTGGCCTACCAGCACAGTTTTTTATTACGTCTGTCTCTGTGGCGGCTCCATGGTTTCTCTCTGACTCTTTCTCCTTTCTCCCAGCATTTCGCTTAGTTTTCTGTGCCTAGCTCTGTTCCCCTATAGCTTGCTATAGGCCCAAAGCACTTCCTTTATTAATCAATGATATTCACAGCATACAGAGGGAAATCCCACATGACACAGTCCAGCTTTCTAGGAGTTTGTGGTAGAGAAAGAGGATGGGGAAGCTACTCTATGGGTACAAAGTCTGTGGGGGTAGTGAGAAGGTTCTAGAAATGGAGAGTGAGGATAGCAGCTGTCCAGCATTGTGGATGCTGTGGACTTAATGCTGCTGCACCGAACATTTTTAAATGATCAGAATGTTTGGTACCAACATCTGATATCTCTTTAGCATCTCCAAGATGAGAAGAAGCCACAGAGCAGTCTAAAGTATCTGAGAGGAGAGCCCTCAGTTGACAAGGTGATTCCTCATGTGCCGTGCTGGTTCTAAAGGTTCTCAGAGGCACCACCTGTGTGTGGTGTGGAGTAAGGACAGCCTAATTGAGACACGCAGATCATGCTTTCTCTGAATTCCCCACACTCTGGCCAACTTGTACATTTTCAGAAACTCGTCCCACTTTATGCCACGGTGGCCAGAAGGCATCACCTCTGAAATCCAAACTGGCTAAATTGTGTGGGTTGTTTTGTTCCATGGTTGCTATGGCAACAGTCACCAATGCTTTGGAGAAACTAGAAGAGTGTTGACTTGACTTCCAGTCTCTTCAATTCTCTGTGTGACTCCTTTGCTCACACTAGAAATAAGCACATGGCCAGAAAGGCCTGGGACTTTGGCTGATAAGCAGTCTCCTAATGGCCTTCCGCGTATCCTTTCCCTCCAAGATTTGTGGTAACAACACAGAAAACAAGGATCCACATAAGCCTCGGGTATCTCCAGTTTCCTCTCCTGCCAGCAGAGGCTTTCTAGATCCAAAACATCCCAACTCGGGTCTTCCTCGTGTTTGCGGACTGTGTTGTGGGACATTTCTTCTGTGTCTCTGGCTCCTTGGTGCTTTACCAAGAAGCTGTCTCCTTACAATATTTCTGCACATCATCTTCTCCTCCAGTGGTCAAAATGTGGTCGGTGTGTCTGCTGCTCTCTCCTGTGAGCGTGTTCTGAAGAGTACAACCCTTCGTCCTTGACAGAGCCAAGTAAACCCTCAACTCTGGGGTCCTCACTAGGTTCCTTCCAGTTGCATCAGTCAGCAGGAGCTTCCAGGGCAATGCCTCACTGTCTCCCGACACTGGGAGTGTCCCCTAGGTTGGGAGCTCTGGATGAGGTTAGCACGTGTCCACATTCACACAGGAACATTTAGGGGTCATCACCTTGGAGCCCCCTGTTTTCCTAAGCTTCTCTGAATGAAAGTTCAAGGATTGGCTTGAGTTAAGTTTCAACAGGTTTGGAGAGCTGCAGACTCCATCTCCAGGGTCAGAAATAGGTCCCTTTTGTGCTGTCCAGTAAGGCCACAAACATGAGGGCTGTGCTTAGACTCCACAAACTTCTTGTTTGTGTAAATAAAGTACTAACTCCCAGAAGGCCCCTGGGAGTGCAGTTTCCAAGGGTTAAGTTACCTTTGAAGCCAGCCTGGATGTGTAAATCCCCACATTCACCCCCAGCACTGCGTAAATGAATATGGTGGCAAATGCCTGTGATCTCAGCCCTTGAGAGATGGGCAAGAGGCTCAGGAGTTCAAAGTCATACTTGGCGATGTAGTCAGTTCAAGGCCAGCCTGGACAACAAGAGCTAGTTCCAGGACAGGCTCCAAAGCTACAGAGAAACCCAGTCTCAAAACAAAACAAAACAAAAAAGTTTATCACTTACCCTTTCCCATAATTGGAGCCCTCTGGAACCCCCAATATCCAGGGCTTGTTTGAAGAAGTTGAGTTTCCCTCCTTTTGAAAGGGGTGAATAGGAGAAAGACCGCAACTGCTTGCATGAGAGCAGATTACACAATACACTTACCTAAAGCTTCCAAGTGTTGGGCGACTTGGTAACAGAACAGAGAGCCCAAAAGATGAACCAGTTTTTTACTTAAACAGAAATGGATTTTACTTAAACAGAAATAAATTCTGGTTTCTTTGGGGTTTAATCAGTAATCTTTGCATGATCTCTCAGTGTGGAAAAAGTCTGAACTGTTGACTCAAACCAACAAATTTATGAGCATATTAAAGATTTGGAAGAAACATGTTAAATTCAGTGCATCCACCCCTTACATCCTGATTTCATCTCCTTTTGCTTTTAGTGACATTGTGTTTTTTGTGATTTTATACCAAGTGTGTACAGACTTCATAAACAGCTCAAACACCATTGCGCCAAAGCCCTCATCGTTTGTTTCCATTCATTTATGGGATCACTAAGTGAGTTGCTTGCTGTAAAGAATGCGTCAAGAAACATTTGTGTGTAGATGAATTTTTCTTTGGGCCACCAGCCTACAAAAAACAACAGAGATTTATTATTAATTATGAAAGCTCAACCTATAGCTTCAGCTTCTCCTACTGGCTCTCTCTCATAACTTAAATCAACCCATTTTCTATTCATTTCTAGTAATCTTCATTTTGCCTTGTGGCTTTTTATCTCTCTTCCATCTTGCACCTCCTGTTTCCCCTGTGTCCTCTGGTGTCTCTCCCATGCCTAGATTCTTCTTTTCCTCTCTACCCAGAAGTCCTGCCTAACCTCTTCCTGCCCAGCTATTGGCCATTTAGATCTTTATTAAGCCAATCAGAAGGTGCCTTGGCAAAGACACATCTTTACAGTGTACAAAAAGATTATTCCACAACATTGGTGTCCAAGTTGGATCCTCTCATCTGCTCTAGCTTTATTTCTGTTGCTGTAAATAATAAAAATAAAAAATAATTTTAAAACCTGACAAAAAGCAACTTGGGAAGAACAAATTTACTTCAGTTTATGATTCTAGGTTAGAGCTCCTTGTTGAGAGGAAGTCACAGTGTGGGACCAGCTGTATGACATCCAGTCTAGAACAGAGAGAAACAGATTCACGCATTCTGCTTGCTCCATTGTGTTCAACTCGATTTCTCCACTTTTATGCAGCTCAGGACCCCTTGCTTAGGAGATGGTACTGCCCACAATAGGCTGGGTCTTCTAAGCTAAGACTATCCCATACAGATACATCCACAGTAGGCTGGGTCTTCAGCTAAGACTATCCCATACAGATATATCCACAGACTAAACAAATGTAGAGTCTCCCTGAGACTCTGTCCAGGTTATTCTGGATTTTTGTCAAATTGATAAAACCAACCACCAAATATATAAATATCTAAAATGCTAATGATAATTTTTATTTTTAAAAGTACTTATAAGAGGACTCTGCAGAGATGGCTCGGGTTAAGAGCACCAAGTGCTCTTATAGAAGACCCAGGTTCAGTTCCCAGCACCCACATGGCTGCTCACAACTCCATCCCAGGGAATCCAAAGC